TTAAGCACTTAACATAATGATGTTAATAAAACTTTATTTTCACATTTTTGGTAGAGAGCCCATTTCCTTGTGTCTGCACTCCTGTTTTTGAATCCACTTGAAGCTGCTACCTCTTATACTTACAAATAGGATAAAAAACACTGTACAGTCATTAAATCTAATAATGATTCTCCAACTCTGTATTTTGGATTTGTCTGCTTTGTTCACTGGAGTTCACTGAGCGTTGAGACCATTTCATTTGTCATGCCTGGTTCTTCTCAAATAGTGATGACTGTTGTGTCTTCTGGCCTTTTGTTATTTCTTTGGTTTTTAAAATTGAGGGCATGTTCATGCTTATTTCACTATCTCTCTGCATTTGCTAATGTAGTATTTTATACTATTTCTGTGGTTTTAAATACTTTAAGAACTTCTAGATTTATTTCCCCAACTTAATTTTCATGTACTAAAGAGTGCACCTGTCAAATTCCTAAATTGTGTATTCAAACATTTCAGTGCTTCTGTATTAGCCCTGTCACTTTCATAAGTCCAATGAAACAGCTGATCTTTTCCCTTAAGCTTCTTTCTCTGAGGGGTCTTCACATCTCAGTAAATGACTAAGTCTGAGTAATATCACTCTTTACATCAGAGATGATTTTTCCTTTATTCTGTACTAGCAAACTTCCTAATTCTCAAAAAAAAATTCCACATCATATACCTTAACTGGATTATACAGAAATTCTTGCACAGTTTAAATGGACTTGGTAAAATTGTTATTTATACATTCAGTTCCCAATTCTCATTGAAGACTCAATTTTTAAACTGAGATAATTTTGCCACAGGTAGAGCAGAGACTTATTTTATGAATTAATTCAGAGTGAAAATATTAAGATTCATAATCCAGACATCATTATTATATAATGAAAAATGGAATAGATTTTCATGTGCAGATATCATCATCAGGTTCTGTTGTTTCTCCTCCTGATAAAAATTTGGAAAGAGTATTAAAGAAAAGCCAGATCACAGTTCAAATCCAAGGTCAAACAATATGTGTTACTATTTCATTTCAATGTAATGTCTTAAAAAATAGAGAATTATTCTGTTCCTTTGGGGTGGGGGCACCCTAGCAGTGCTCAGGAGCAAAGTACCAGTCAAGGTGATCCAGTAGTGGTATCCTGGCAGGTTCAGTGCTGGGGCCAGGAAGTGCCATTTTTTTGTAACTTAGCAATTTGAAGGTCTACCAAGGGACCCTCACAGGGCTCATGGATACCCTAGGGCTCTACCTGATAGTAGCACTGTAGCACTGTCCTCCCCTTGGTCACAGATTTGCTCGAGTGGGTACCAGTAATGTCTCACAACAAATTGTGAAACTTGTGACTATTTTTGGCATATTGAATACGTCAAGGGGAGCTTGCCCGGCTTTGCCTTGTGGGTAAAATACTCTTGGTAGCTTGCCAGGCTCTCCAAGAGGGGCGGAGGAATCGAACCTGGGTGGACCATGTGCAAGGCTGCTGTGCTACACTGGGCAAAGATCTTGGGGCTTCATGCATGTAAGGTATGCAGTCCAGCTTCTTGAGCTAGCCCCTCTACCTGGCAGGATGATTACTTACAGCCAAGTAGAACCAACATGTTTTTATTTTCTCTTACCATCTCATTTATTAACAATTTCTTATATCTAAGGTTCTAGCATTCCAGTAATGATGAAATCCAGGATTGGTCCTGATGACTTTTAGATTTATGGTACAGCTATACTCACTTGGTATTTTGCTTTCAGATAAACACTTTCAGTAGCAATTGAAATCTATTCAGCAAACTTGTTAGTCTGGTAAATTTACGAGTGATCTTTTCTCAAATTAAGTACCAAGTACATCACCAGGTATTTTGACAATAAACTCAATTTAAAATCCATTTATGATTTTTGTAATAACTGATTTCTTTCAACCCAAGCTCTAAAAACCTTTCCCATCACCACCCTCGGCCATCGTCTACTTCTGAATCCCCACTCTGTCTTCAAATGTGGTGAATTTGAGATGGCTGCACACTCTCCCTAGACCTCTCATGGAGGCATTTGCTTTATCCTCTTATCTCCCACTCCAATCTCCAATTTGGGATGATCCTGAGACTCCTGCAGGAGGGAAGCTGTGCTAATTCTGCACCATTAAGAGATCTTGGGAATCTTTTATTCCCTCTTATACATTCTTGAGATTTCTCTCTTGAATCCCAGTCATCTTGCCATGTAATCAGCCTACTTGGCCAGCCGTGTTGTGCAGAACTGAGGCACTCCACTCTCTATGAAGATGTTATGACTGGAAAGACGTTGGCTGTTTCACTGCCAGCCATATGAGGGGGACATGTTGGCCCGAGATGCCAAACCTCCAGGACCACAGTTGCCGCATGATACCTCTCTGTGAGGCCCCTTCAATACAGGCCCTCTTACTAGATAGTCAAATGTCTCAAGTCATCAAATTTTGGAGTAAAAGCAGCTCAAAAAAGAGCAATTTCCTTCTGTGCCTTTCCAGGTAAAGTTTAAAGTTTGCTCTACATTAGATGGGTATGAACAACTAAGAAATTTTACTTTATTATAGTTGCCTCTGTTTCATTTTTCAAAGAGACTCAAAGTTACTAAAGAACAAATATTGTCCTGCTTTCTACCCCCAGTTTTCCATAGTTACAAAAATATTTCTAGGGACATCGAACCATATGTGTTTGTACATATGCAAAGACATATATGCATATACACACATATGTATGTATATATAAAATTTAATCTGGATTATAGAACATTGTCATTTTTATTTGTAAAATTAATATGTAATTTATATGTAAAATTATCACTTGTAAAATATGTAAAAATATCACTTATAGTTAGAAACTTTATCAAGTTAGAAATTTGCATGCTGAGTTCTAAGAAAGCACAACAGATATTTTATTTATTTATTTATTTATTTATTTATTTATTTATTTAATGCAGGAGTACTGCGATTTATTCAGTTACTGATTAGGCTGATTGAATTGGGCATGAACTCCACTAAACAGATATTTTAATGTGAATCCAAGAAATAATTTAGTAAAAAAAAGGAACAAGTATTGTCTAGAGCTGCACTGTATAAGGGTGAAACAGTTTTTTCTCCAGTGTTTGCTATGAATTCTACTTATGCAGCAGATAAGAAATTAAGAGTTATTATGTCTATTCACTCTGTTTGGGGAATGAGTACTTACTAGTGTCTAAAAATAATGAAACACAATTCAAGTCAGGTCTCCAAATTTAGCAAATGCAGTGATACTATGTCTATTTGCCAAGTTATTTAAAATGTGAGGCACTTCTCATTTTTTAACAACCCAAGTACACATTAAGAGTTCTTAAAAAAAAGAGAGAGAATTCTTTTAAATAACTCAGTAAAACAGAAATTATCTACTATACATAATTCTCCAAATTCCTTTCCGTGAGGACACATTGATTAATACTAGCAAATCTCTTCCTGCTATGTTATTACCCAAATTCACATTTTTTCCACATATGCACTAAGACAAAAAAGGGATAGAAATTAATGTAGGATAGTTAAGGTTTTTTCGTGTTTGTGTGTGTGTGTGTGTGTGTGTGTAGGTGAGGAATTAAGTCCTTTCCCCACTGAAGGACTATGAGCTTCTTAAGTTCTTTTGTGTAAAATGGTAAGTGGTCTTTCCATAAAGGGTATATTTAAATATACTAAATGTGCTTATATACTCTTTTTGAAATGCAAGTGACTTACCAACAACTCCCCCACCCCGCAAAAAAAAAAAAAAAAGATCCAAACAAGCAAACAGCAACAAAACCTAAACCACAAAGCTTTATTGATGCAGTCTTAAGCTGTTTAGGATGCTGCTCGAAGAAATTTACAAATGACTGAGGATTTGAGGGCATCGAAAGCTCCCAAGCAAATTTTGGGTCTCAAGTGAGACCTCGGGGGTGTCGAAAGTGGAAACTGGAGGCTGAGGCCGGCGGCAGCGAGCGAGAGGGAGGGAGACCAAGCGGGACGGAAGATGGGGAGAGAAAAGACCGCGCCGGAGCCCGCAGATGCATCCGACCCGGGCTTCTGGGCAGAACCTCTGGGTTGTAACCGAGATGCCGCGGCGTGGCTCTGGGGCCCAGATCGGCCGATGCCGTGGGCACAGCGTGCAGGTCCGTCACCCCCTCTAAGCCCCGGTCCCTCCCGAAGTTACGAGCCCCGGGTCCCGGGGCGCCAGTGCCCGGGGCCCGGCACGCGGTTCCCCCGGAGCGGCAGCCACAGGTTCGTCCGTGTGAGGTCTGGGGCGCCAGCGCTTCGGGGTGTGCGCTGGGTGGGGAGAGAGAGCAGCGCGACGGGCAGGGCTGGAGTCTCGCGCCCCCCGAGGCTCCCCGGGTGTCGTGGGCGTCGCGCGAGAGGTCAGAGGGACAGGTAGCCCGAGCGATGTTCGGGAGGGCGGAGTGCGGCGCTGCAAGGCAGGAAAACGGCCCGGGCGTTTGCAGCGCCCCCAGCCCCGCCGCCGGGCTTCCCCCGGAGTCTCTCCGGAAGCGGCTGCGAACCCGGAGCCCAGCCTGGCTGCGGGATCCTCCGTGGCCATCCCCAGCACGTACCTGGGCTGAGCAGATCTAGGGAATGGGGGGGAGGGGAGGGTGGAGGCGGGTGTCGGGTACGACCCCCTCCTCCCTTCCGCCTTTCCCCCATCCCGGGGCAGGAGCGGCCGCAGCGTGGAAGACCTGGGCCCGGGGAGCTCGCCTGCAGCCCGGCCTCCAGCATCTCGGGCCCCGCAGCCGGGGATGCGCGGGGCCCGCTGCCATCCGGGCCCGAGAGAGCCAGCGCGCGGCTCGGCGTGGCCGCGGAGCGCCCGCTCGCTCTATATAGGCGGCGCCCACCCGGCACGTGCCCGGCCCCAGCGACGGGCGCGGCGAGCCACGGGCCGGGAGCGCGCCCCCCTCCCCACCACCTCCCACCCTGCGCCCGGCCCGGCGTCCGGCCCGGCCCCGCCGCCGCCCTCCCCAGAGCGCGGGGCGGGGCGCTCGCCGACGGGGCCCCGGGGAGGCGCGGCGTGCGGCGGCCGCCAAGCATGGTAACATGAACGGCGGAGCGTGAGCGCGGCTGCCCATCCCCGGCCGAGATTGATGGGCTGCTCGCGTCCCGCGCGCGGGAGCACGTTGGGCCGAGCCGCCGCCACTTCCTGGCTGGACGCCGCTGACATCTGTAGCCTCGCCCGGGCGCCGAGCGCCGCCTGCCCGGGGCTCCCGGGACCGCGCGCGACCTGAGCTCCGGGGCTCCGCGCTCTCCGCAGCCCGGTCCGGCGCGCACGCTGGCGCCTGGGCCAGTGCGGCCGGAGTCCAGGTGGGTGATGCCCGGCGGAGCGCAGGGGGGCGACGTTCGGGGGACCCCGGGGAAGGTGAGATCCCGAGCTCCAGCGGCGACTTCGCTGCTGGACACTTGCTGGGCTGGAGCCGCTTCCTCCCACGCAGTTCGCACGACTCACGCCGCCGGGTCCTCCCGCTGTAAGAGGCGGGGAGAGTGTGTGTGGGGGGTGTGAGCCGGACGCCCCCAATTTCCCGTTCCCTTAAGGCTCTAGCATGCATTGACTTGGCCGTCACTCAGGAGCAAGTCTCCGAAACGGTCTTCTGTGCTGCGTGGCTCTGGATTCATGGAGGTCCAGAGGCTTAATGATTTCCCCGGTCAAGTCATTTACTTCTAAGCCAATGGATGGTACCTTCGTCATAGATCGCCGGGGTGAAAGTAACTGTGCGTTTGTTCTGCAGATGTCCAACTTCCCTCGGAAGCCTGCAGATGGGTGCTGAGCACACAACAAAAGTTTTCTTGTTTTGTTTTGTTTTTTAGCTTCTGCTCAGTTTCTGGTGCTTCACAGGGGCCAGGAAAAAAAAAAGACTTTGGCATTAAACTTCAGCAGCAGTTGAGGGGACCATCTCCTTTAACTTTTCTTCTCTGTTATCGTTGGCGATGAAGAGGAAACAGAAGAGATTTTTGCAGATGACTTTGGTATTCACGGTGGCTTTAATTTTCCTGCCCAATATTGGTCTCTGGTCTCTGTACAAGGATAAGCACCTGGTGAAATCTACAGAGCCCGGGGAACAGCAGGTAAGTACCAGCAGAGAAAGATGCCAGGTGAATGGGCCAGGCACATAGCCCACTAAGAGATGTGGTGTTGCCTTGGGCTTTCCTTACAGGTCTCTGGATCAGAAATGACAAGACTCTAGAGTTTGGATTTTAAGCAAGTAGCTTGCAAGTCAAAGCGAGTAACATCATCATGGAACCGAACCAGGAAAGAGGGATTTAGAGGTTCAAGACAGGTCGGCGTCGTTCACAAGTGGTCTTTAGGTTGGTGAAGATGGAGGGGCATGAAAGGCCCCTGCTTATTTCTGAAAGTGGATCTGGAGAAGTTTTTTTACAAACGGATCCCATCTCCCCACCCCCATTCACCTGGTTTGAGTGCGTACCTTAAAGTGATTTGAACTCTTGAGATCATTAAAATTGTGAAGTAGTTCTAAGTAAAACTAAGCTGTAGTTTTCTGTTTGTGGTTGTACTTTTGATTTAGCAGCAGCTTTTCTCCTATAGAAACTTAGTCTCATGTTTCTTTCTCCTGTTGCTAAGGTGGTGTGGAATACTGACAGTTACTAAGGATTTCCATTCTGTTTCACAGTTTTACTGATAACAGTTTGTTGCTAAAAGCTGCCTTTATATCTGAAACACATGCCCTGTGGTATGCATTGCTCATGACCTAACAGATCAAAATTACTATCTCCCTGATAAGTAATGCAAAATAGTCCTGAAAAAGCATTGTTGAAATGCAATATTGTTGAATCCCTATATATTAATTGGGTAACTTCAGCAATTAAACTTCTAATAATGGTATTCAGCCTTCATGATATTAGTAGAATACCTTCTTAGTTGTGTGCATCATTTCAGGATGTTAACATCCTTAATTTCAAGGACCATCACCCATATACATTATGTACCTTCCACAGATAGAAATGTTTTTAGTAGTCCACTTGTTGGTAGTAGAAATATTTGTCAGTGGCAAATAAATGTGTTCTGGGGATTAACAAAGTTTAATTTTCCTTTTATGCTGTGAGTAGGTATTTGTGAAATATATAGAAATAACCTGCTTCTTAATTTTGTCTTGTAAGAATTATGAGTGTCTCAAATTTAAAGTTAACTAGTTAGTTGCCTATGGATTTTTTTGTGGATTGAAATTTTGAGGCAAAATGTTGACATAATCTCATGTTGGTTATTGTTTTTTCTAGTCCTTCCTAATAGGAATATAACTTTGATTTTAAGTATATTCTGTTCTTCATTTCAGTGCAAAAAAAAAGAAGATGGGAACATTGAATGTAAAACTTTTATTTTTTCTTTGTAGGTCCGTTATTTCTCCAATCTTTAATACAAAACAGGATTTTATTAACCTTATTAACAGATGTCAAGTATTTATTAAAAATTAGTAAAAATAATAATAGCAAGGGAATTTTTTTCTTTGACTTTAATTATCCAATTAATAATGACCACATGAAGTATTTGCTGGCATAGCTAACAAAATACTAATTTTATGAATGAGATCTTTACAATTTTCTCATGAGCTCTATTGATTTTCATTTTTAAAGATACATTTGTTTTGTCTAATGGCATAGGAAATAAAATATGACAGATGAATTCTATGACTTGTTATATGCTCTCCCACTTTCTGTTCTGTTCTAGTTCTTCTGTACTACTAATGGTACTTTATATCAGGAGGAAATTTAATGGGTTTGAAAGGCATAAAGTAGTGTGAGAGGAGCTGTTTCTCAAAGTTTCATATACTACAGAGAAAATAATTGAAATTGATGTATATCCTGTGACATTTTACTTTAATAATTCCATGCAGCAGTTTTAAAACCAAGAATAAAAGGTGCTACTATGTCATAAAATGAAGGTCAATCACATACTTCAGTGTTTTAACCCAACTTACTATCAACTATACAGAGTTTTAAAGGTAGCAATTCATTCATCATTAACTGAAAGAATTCTTGTAAAACTAGACAAGGTAAGCATTTATTAGGTTTTTTTTTTTTTTGCATTTTAACTGGATAAAGAATCAGCATATGCTGATAGAATCAATTACGTTGTACAAGAGCCAGGTCATTTATATACATATATATGGGCACATGACCTATTAAAAAGTGACTTCAATGATGACTACATACGCTTAATATCTTGATGCAATATTTTGCTGATAGTATGGTTTCAGTGTTAGTAAGTTGCTAAATGGGTTTTCAATTCCAGCATGCAATTTCATTGTCTGGTAATGTGTCCTTTAAATTATTTTTTAAAAAGCATGTTTATGGTTAATTGCAAAATAGTCTTCAAAGGCACCTTCTGCTCTATTTGTCACTGTGTTGTAAAGTGCTGAGGGTGGGACTGCTGTGCTGATGCAAGCGCTGACAGCCCCCAGGACTGACGCTGCTCAGGGCTGTCACGTGCCAGTGAGCCTCTGTTCTCCCAGCAGTGACGTGTACACTGGCGGTCCTGCCACCCAGACCAAGTGTGCTGAGACCGTTCAGAGTTACACACTGTCACAGTTTGCAGTAGTTCCGTGATGACAGTGGGTTTCATGGAAATGTTTTCTAGAAATTCTACAAGTACAGCTCCTCTATTGCTCTTAAAGACTCTTAACTTGTATTTTCTCAGAACACATCACTGTTTCCTATTCAGTATAAATATCCTAAGTTATATAATCTGAGACATGAATGAAAGGTATAATAGAAAACACTGATAGAAAGTCTCTTGAAAATATTTGGCACTTTTGCTCATATTTGTTGTAGTTTCACAGAAAGTTATATTTATAATATGACATTTTTAAATTTTAAAAGCATTTATGATGCATAAGTGCAAAAGATAATTTAAAAATATCCCAAATTGTTCATCCCAAAAAAAGCTCCTTATTTATTTTATGGCCAGAGATTACTGGAAAAAAAGTCATGCAATAATTAAAATATTGATTTATTCTTTGTCTGTACAAAATTGTAGCTAACGTTCTGAGATGTAAATGAATTTTTTTTTGTAAATGAATCTTTTATATTTTTAATCTTTTCTAAAAGTTTGCAAATGTTCTCATTTAGATGTCATTAAATTGTCAATATTATTTTGTCATGGGTTTTATACATATAGTTGAATTTTTATGGCTTTTTGCTACTAAAATGATATAAGTATCTTATTTTTAAACTACATAGTCTCAAACTTATAGAAATATTGATAATCATGGATATGATCTTTGGCTGAAACTGATTATGGCATAGTTTTATATAGCGATTCAAATATTCTTTCTTAAACATTTTTTGATTGCAATTCATGTATTCACTGGTATCTGCTGTCTTGGAACTAAAGTTACATATTTAGATCTTAATGAAGCTGTGCATTAGAATGATGATTAGAATAAAGCAGTACTTTGGGAAAAAACTCCTGCAACCTGCTTTGTTATATTATCCATCCCCATCATTTTATAAGTTTAGATAAATAAAAAGTGCCCAAACACTTTTTTAAAGAAAATTAAGATACTAGCTTTCTTTTCCTAATTATGTAAAAGATATGATTAAACGTAAGTCCCTGTAGTTTGGCAACTAAGTCACAGATAATATGTGCTGCAGAAATAGAGAGCAATTCCTTCAAAATACAGCAGTTTATATTTTGAAGGATTTCACATTTTGAAGGAATTTGAAATTTTATTTAATATGTTGGTTTGGGGGCCATCCCTGGCAGTACTCAGGGGTGACTCATGGCTGTATGCTCAGGAATCACACCTGGTGGTGCTCACAGAACTGTATCTGGTGCCTGGGACTGAATCTGGTTGGCCACTTGCAAGGCAAAGGCTTTATATTCTGTACTATATCTTGGGTCCCAAGATTTGCAATTTTATGAAGTAAAAACAAGGGTCAAAATCCTAGAATTTCAATGGAGATTTTATAGAGTTGTTCCAGATGTATAATGATGAGTTCAGAATGAATTTTGAAACTTAGACCTTGATTTCTATTTTACAAAATCACATTTAGTAAGCAAAGTAGACTGTTCAATACTCTTTTATTGCTGAGCCTTCTTATTTCTTTCTGTGTCAGAAGTTTTGTTCATAAATAAAGGATGCTAATTGTTGCTACATAACAAATTACATATAATCTACAAACCCTATGTGGGACATGGAATATATCTTCAATTCATAGTTTGATTTTTAGTTTAAGACCTTTGTGAAAACATTTTCTTGTTAAGTGTGGAGTTTAATCCCCATTACCAAAAACACTTAAAAATAATCTAAGATGTTCCATGGCAACTGTCTTATGGTTAATGAGTTCCATAGTTGGGGAAAACTTTCCTTCTTTCTGGCTACGAATGCACACTCCTTGCCCTGCCTTGTGGTGTTTTCAGCTTATTTATGGTGTATGGATGTCAGATAATTGGTAATCAATTTGTGCTTTTCATGCTTATCATAAAACTGTGCTGTGTGTCCTGTTCCCTTTTCAGTAGACACCTTAGATCCTAAGGACAGGAGGAGAAGAAAATGATTAATTTCCCTTCTCTCCTGCACCTACACTGCTCCATTAAATGAGACATGATACTTTTTTTTTTCAACTAGACTCTTTGTAATTAACCAAGATGTAGATTTTGAATTTGGGTTTTGAAAAGCTCCTTCTTGAATTTCTGGAAAGCCTATCCCCATTCACTACAGGCTTACACCACACAAGTCACATGAAAGGGTCTTAATATTTACTGTGGCCCAGTAGATGGTAATATGATTAGTTTATGACTTTGCCTCTAAGGAGATAGTATGAAATATAGTTTTCTAGTTGTAATTTGCTGAAAAAAATGGTGGGTGGAAAAATAGATTTCCCTCCTTTCCCCATTCTCAGTGAATCATGCTGAAGGTATTCTTTCCCTTCATAATTTTTTAAATGAAAAAATAGGTTGGGATATAATAGGAAAGGGTGAAGCATGTAATATAAAAAAGAGATTTGAGTTTTTTTTTTTTGATCACACCTGGCAATGCACAAGGGTTACTTCTGGCTCATGCACTCAGGAATTACTCCTGGCGGTGCTCAAGGGACCATATGGGATACTG